ATAAATACCAGAGCACTGGGTGCAATATCGGATTTAAATTCGTGCACTTGCAGGTGTCCCTGTTTTCTTCTCTTTATGGAGATGATTAAAGAAATCTAAAGTTCTGGCCAAATTTCAAACTCTGCACCTCGTTTTCCTGGATGAAAAACAAAGACTGACTTTTGCACCGGAAGAGGAAGGAAAATCAGAGAGCCTATACAGCACCTCTATTTTATTTCCATAAAACAAACACTTCTGCACCTACCCAGCACTGACAGTGACATACATTTCTCTCCCAAGAGCATCTTCATCTGCCCCCGGGTCCCACCTGGCCCAAACACAGCCCCTTACCAAATCCTGTTGTTGTTCATGAGCAGAGTTTTCAGCCTCCTCAGCAGGGGGAACCCATCCAGCTTTCGGATCTCGTTGTCAGAGAAATCAATGGCATCAAACTGGTCCAAAGTGGCTCCCAAGTTCTCGATCACTGGGATTTTATAGCCTGGGGAGAGAGGCCAAGGCAGGGATCAGGTGGTGCCCACAGCAGAGCAGAACAGAGCAAAGCAGAGCGTGTGGGGGGCACGTCTGGATGGACCGAGGATGCTGATAAGTCTCAGTCAAAACACCTCGGGATTGACTACTCCACATCACTCACAGACCAAACTTTTCCTCTCAAACAACAGCCCCCGTGGCTTTTTCAATCCCTCTCCCTCAGCAGACACCCCAAGCCCCTCCCTGTATGTGACCCCTCACCTTTGCAGCACATCCCCCGTGCTGGGGGCAAATCCCACCCCCTCCAACGCACCCTCCTCCCACATTTCCCCCAATATCCCCTCCCTGGGGGATGGAACGAGATAATTAAATTCCCTCCCAACCCAAACGACCCTATAATTCTGAATTCCCCCCTCACCTCTCCCCACGTTTCCCCGACAGAGGAGCCTCTTTAACCCCCCCAGTCCCCAACTGCAGCCCCTCCCCAACCTGCTGCGGCGCCTCCTCCCACGGAAAGCCCCAGATCCCACCACAGGATCCACCACAGACCCTCCCAGGCCCCCCCCAGGGACCCCCCCAGCCCTCAGCCCCCCGCCCCCGCAGGCCCCTTCCCGGCACAGCCCCCGCCGGGGCCCGCGCACCGCGCAGGTCGAGCTCCCTGTCGCGGACGGCGTTGGTGTACTGCGCCGCCTGCTCGATGAGCTCCGCCGTGAGCTTCACCATCGCGACAGCCCCGCGACAGCCCCGACAGGCCCCTCACGCCGCCACAGGCCGCGCGCGCCGCCTCAGGACACCGCGCCGAGCGCCGAGCGCGCCCAGGCCGCGCGGCCGAGCGCCGAGACAGCGAGCGGCGGGAACCGCCCCGCCCCCGGCCCCGCCCCCGGCCCCGCCCCGGGATGAGACAGACCCCCCCAAAAAACCCCCCAAAACCCCACATCCCACGCATCCCCCTCATCGCCGGGCTGAAACAAACCCACCGAAAACCCCCCAAACCCCATCCCGGGCATCCCCCTCATCCCCGGGCTGGCACAGACCCCCAGTGCCTCATGCCCGGCATTCCTCTCCTACCCGGACTGACACAGAACGCCCCAAAACTCCCTCTCGGGCATCCTCCTCATCTCCGGGGTGACACAGACCCCCCCAGTACCCCTCAAAACCCCATCCTGGGCATCCCCTTCCTCCCCGGGGTGACACAGACCCCCCAAAACCCCTCAAAATCCCATCCCAGGCATCCCCCTCATACCTGGCCTGGAACAGGCCCTCTAGTACCCCCCAAAACCCCATCCTGGGTTTCCCCTTCCTTCCCTGGCTGACACAGACCCCCCTCCCAGTACCCCATTCCAGGCATACCCCTCCTTCCTGAGGTGACACATACCCCCTCCAAACCCCTCAAAACCCCATTCCAGGTATCTTCCTCCTTCCCTGGGCTGGCACAGTGCCCCATCCCAGGCATCCCCTTCATCTACGGGGTGACACAGGCCCCACCACTACTCCCCAAAGCACCATCCCTGGGGTGACACAGACCCCCCAGTAACCCCCAAAATACTATCTTGGGCATCCCTCTCCTTCCCAGGGCCAGCCCCCACCCTGGTAGCTGAGCCATGGATCACCAAACCCAGTCAGGACATGCCTTTGCCATCAACAGTGCCTAAAGCAGCACAAGGGTGCCACCAGAAGTTCCCTCCCAACTTCTGGTGTTGCCAGGCATGGATTTATCCACAGAAATCAGGTGGAGTGGGCTGGGAATCTGCTTCACACAATGACTGGCAGCAGGTGGGCTGCTTCCCTTCAGACACAGCTGGCTACTGTGTGCTCAGCCAGTGGAATTCTGTGTTCCAACACTTGCTGCTCCCCTCCTGCCACACAGCCAGGATGGTGTCCACAACAGCCACAGCTCTGGGTGCTCTCCCTCCAAGCAGCAGCTCAGCCTTTGCTCTTGGACATCGTGTTGCCCATAAGCACCTTCCTCCTGCAGTGTTTGGAGCAGTTGCTCTGTCACTTCCACAGGAATTCCTGGTCTCAGAGATGCTGTGATGGGCTGGGAACATGACACAGGCTATGGCATGACACTCATCCTTTATCTGTGAGATGAAATGTGCTTTCAGATGTCACTGCATCCCCTTTACCTGCTTTAGGAATGCGTAGAACAGCAAGAAAGAGCTGGGAGTAGTGCTAGGGGAGCTGAGATGGCTCTGCCTGTGGCGGAGGGACTTGGTTCCATGGGGAAGGTTCAGCTGGTGGCAGGAGGGCTCTGGAGTTGGGTGAACCACAGGGATGACTGGACTGAAGGTGACATGTGAAAAGAAGCAGCCAGCCATCCCCCAGTCCCAAAACCTGCTGAATGTCACCAAGCCACTGCTTCTGGAGAAATCCTTCCCCAGCCCTCAAGGTTTCCCTGAGCGAGATGAGGAAGAAGGATTCCTGTACCCACTGCTATCGAGGGAAGGACATTTTTCACAAGCCATGACATTTCTGTGAACCCAGAGGATGTGATAATAGGTTAAACACTGCAGCCACACTTGGCACTGCAGAGTGATGGCTCATACTTTTCCTTTGGGAGCATTTGGAGCATCACCCTGAGCATGAGCCTGGCTCCTTCCCCAGGACTGCAGTGTCGGAGGGGTCAGCTGGGGCCAGGCAGCTCCTGTGCTCCCTCCTGTAAAACCCCCTCACCAAGCGAAAGCACGTAGAGCCAGGCTTTGGTAACATCTGCATTTGTTTAAAAGCAGTTAGAGAACAAGAACAAGAGGGAGCTGTCACAAGAAAAAACTAGGAATTAGCAGCACTGTTGTACGTGACTCAGGCATCATGCAGTGGGAAAGACAACAGTCTTTAGTCATTTCAGGCAGTTGTTAAAAGGAGACTCTTTTCAGCCTTCTGGAAAGCAGGTCCTGCCTCTGACAAGGCCAAAGAAAACACGGGCCTTTCTCCCTCGGCACAATGCAGCTGTTTGCCTCAGCCCTACAGCCTTGGTGGAATTGGAATTGAGAGCAGACGGATTCTGGGGCTCAGATGCTTCACAAGAGCTCTCGACAGCCCTTCCTTTGCAATGGAAAGTCAAAGCAATGTTTTTTAAGATGTGTGTTCCCCACCTGCCAACTGCACAATGGCAGATGGCCGTGGATGCAGCCTCACAGCCAAGCAGCAAACGAGGAGTCAGGCTGCACTAAGATTTTCCAGAAAACAGCTATTATAGATTTAGCTTTGGTGCCAGGAGACAATAGAGAAATGAGCTTTAATAAATTGCCTAAATATGCATTTATCTTGAAGACACAGCCACTTTGATCCTCTGAGCACACCAGAGCCAGACTTAAATAGCTCCAAGCAAGTATTGCAACAGCTTGGAGAAATAATCTGAATTTTATTACTTTACAAGAATGATTTCTGAGGGAAAGGCTGGAAGCTGATGTTGTTGCATAAACTTGATGCATAGAATTTGTTTCTCTTTCCCTGGCAGGCTTGAAAGCAGCAGAAAGTAGGATAAAACTGAGGCTGCCGTAGACTGGTCATCTTAAATTTCATTGCTTCCCCCAGTGTGTATTTTAAGTTATGTCAGGGATATAAGAGTAAACATTTTCCTTTTTTGTTTTTTTTTTTAGCATTTCAGTACATCTAAATATACCAAGAAGCAGTATTTAGAGGCAGGCTGCTGTGAGCCAGAGAACTGAAAGGCTGACACAGTAATCCTGAGCCACAGCTCCTTTTTTCTGACTAACACAGCAACAAAAATGAAGTTTGGTATTTTACAACCACAGGGGCAGAAGACAGGAGCATTTCACCCCAGTTCTGACCTCTGGTTTGGCCCAAGACCGAAAGGGGAATCCTCAGGCAAGAGAAGGAATCCCTGCATGTGATTAATTCACATTTATCATCTGATAAATGTGAAGACCTACAAGATGCAGGAGCCCATAGCAGCACATCTCTGAGAAAGGATCTTCCCTTGTGGAGGGCTCCATTCTTTTCTTTTTTTCACACTTAAAAAGCTCAGTTTCAGATATCCAGACACTACCCTGGGCACTTGGCCCATGGTTAAACATTGCAAAACCAACATGAAAAACAAAAGGCTCCAGAGCTCCCTCCGTTCCCCAACACACCAGCGGCTCCTCTCCTTCCCCAGACAGCCAACAGGGAACAATTCCCCTGCTGCTGGGAACTGCAGTGGGGAACTAGGGGGCTCAGGATGTTCCTTGTATGAGTGGGAAAGGGGAGCAAGCCCTCCTGCCAGCTCACACAGGATCCCCCACACCAGAGAACACACCCAGCCGTGCCCAAGCACAGCCCCAAACCTCACCAGGGATGCCAACCCAGCCTGGCATGGGGCAGGTAAAGGTGAAAGACCTTTATGAGAACAACAATGATGTTTCAGCAGATGCAGCTCATCTGTTCCTGAGTGTTTCTCCCACAGGTGCTCTGGGCTGATCAGGAGCTGCTTTGTCCAGCAAGATAAAGACTCACAGTGCATCCCTGCCCTGCTGCTGGCTGGGATGGCAGCTGCATGAACTTGGAAAAAGCACAGATTCACTTGTCAGGGGAGATCAATAGTTTATTAACTTAAAAGGTCAGTTCACCAAAGCTCCATCTTTCCTTGGGTTTGGCCCAGGCAGGTGAGGACCAGTGGCAGTGTGGCTTTCCCCTCTTCCACCTGGCTGAGGTGAGCTCTAGTGGGCAAGCCCAGGCAGGGCATGTGTCACTGCAGCTGAAACCAAGCAGGGATTATCCCAGCTCTGTGAGGGACTAGTGACATTTCACACTGAGGATTTCATTGGCAAAAGGTTTAACTCATAAAAACTATTAACAATGAAAATCAGAACATGCAGCGTAGGAAAGAGTGTTTACATACGTCTGGTGCAAAGACTGGCTTTGCAGGGTCAGAGAGGAGAAAAGGAGAAGGAATAAGACACAAAAAGGTACCCCACTCCCATATAAAAAATAATCCACAGAGAAAAAACAAGGATTGTATAAGTTATTTTTTAAAAATCTGTAAAACAACATAGCCAAGGATATTTTAAACACAATTATATAAACACCACATGACTTACTATTAAGAGAGAGCATGAAAAAGTTTGTTTTGGGGGAGGGTTTTGTAAAATTAAGTTTCCTGTCTGGATCCCCGGAATGTCTCATTTGGGAAATAGATGCCCAAGAAAAATCACTGCCGTGATAGGAGGATTTTGTGAGAGAGAGGGGCATACCCAGCAAAACAGGGGAAGGATGATGACACAAAATGCCAGAAGAGACTAACTGGGACAGCATCTCGTTTAGAGGAAGGATCTAGCTCGTTCCAGAACTGAATTAATCAGCAACTTACTCGCAGTTCCAGTAGGGAAATACACTTCATGGTAAGGCCAGTCCATGCGGACAAACCCCACCAAATCCCTAAGACCCCCTGTAGACACAGGGGTTTTGCCTGCCTGCAGTTCCCTGCTGGGCTGACACACCTGCAGAGCCACGTGGGTCAGCTCACGCTTTGGTCCTCAAACCTCCAGTTCTTGCCCCGGCCAGAGGGAAACAGCGACTGACCGAATCCGAACAGGAATTCCGGAGTGGGCTGTAGGGCACCACTCCGGAACCGCCTGGTTCATCGTTTTACCTATGTACAGAGCCGTTGGCAATTCAGGTCTGTATCAGCTCTCACCTAGCAGAGAAGGGTACCGAAAAGTGAGCCACAAACGGCTCTTTCCTCGCAGGCGTGGAGTCCTGCATCCCTCGCGGCGAGGGCTCCCGCCAGCCGCTCGGAGCGGGCAGGTCAGTAGGATTTCTGCGAAGAACCAAGCGTGTGTACATGGATCATGCATCAGTCCCTGCTCACGAGGAGTGTTTGAGAGTATTAATATCACCGCTTGTCTGCTGCTCCCAGGACGTGATCACTCAGGGTACGATCCGATCTCTGCTTAACATATTGCTATAGAAACGCGCTGACAGTGATATTAAAGCTATCAAACTTAGGAGCGAAATGCTTGACAGCACCATGTAAACTCTCCCAAAGCTGAAAAAATAAACTTTTTGTCCTAAACATTTGGCAAAACTGGGCTGGCAGTCGGTGGAAGTCCTGGATGGACGCAGCCGCTGAACTTTACCCAGCCATAAGACACGTCTGACAGCAGAACTGCACAAACAGCTTCTTTTCACAGAGCTTGTTTGATTTCACCATCTCACAGAAAGTCTTGTCAGCTGGGAGGCCGAGGCGAGGAACAAGAGAAAATGAGAGCAGATTAACATTTTAAACAAACAAACATTGCACATAACAGGCGGTGCAATTCACTCCAGTGTTTGGGGAGAGAGAATTGAAAAGGAGTCACTTTTTAAGGGCATCTTTCACATGGTTTTAATGAAGGAATAAAAGGGCTCTGCAGCAAGTGGGAGAATTAGCCCCAAGACTAAAGTATAACGAAATACAAACACTTGGATGTGTTTGAGCAACAGGAAGATATCCTGGCAGCAATGCCAGATGAGCCACCTGCCTGCCTCAGCTGGAGCCCAGCCCGCTGCAGCTGTGCCCCAGCAAGCCCAGGAGCTCCAGCACTTTTGGCTTTACACGGTGAAGGGAATCCCCCAAACCCCTCATTTTTCCTACCAGGGAGGCACTGTGGTGCCAGCAACTCCGTCTCTTACCGTTGGTACAGGTTTCATTTGTTACACAGGAGCCACCCAGGAGGCTGAAACCTTCTTTACACCGAAGGCAGTTCCCACTGGAGCCCTCGCAGGCTGAGCAGTGATCGTCACACCTGGGGACAGAGACCCTGCTGTGGTCTGAACCATTAACACCCCGATCCAGCCACCTAAAATGGGCTGTCAGCCAGAAAATGTGCGTGCCAGCACTGTGACATCCAGAGAATGTGGAAAACAGCAAATCTGAACCTTGAAAAGTTATTGAAGCCCTGGGAAAATGGGGTCAGTGGTGCCAGCTCAATGCCCAGTGACATCCCAAAGGCTCTTGCCTGCTGGGAAGATTTAGTGAGACATGAACCTCTCCTCCCAGCAATCCCAGTTAGGAAAAGGACTGTGAGGGGAACTTGTGCTGCTCCCCTCCTTTTCTTCAGGAAGAAGAGCCCAGCAGCTGTGCCTCCTGCCTGGGGACAGTGGCTTGTGGAAACTACCTGAAATCCCTGGGAAGGGATGCTGGTCCTTTGTTCCTCCCTGATGGAGACCCAGTGCAGGTGAGTGAGAACCCCAGGCAGGCAGGGACTGTGTTGTGTGTTCCCAAGTCACCTTTAATCCTTCCCTTTCGTGTTTGCTTTAATGAGGCTGAATCCACTCCCACTCCCCACTTGAAGAGCAGATGCCGGAGAGTGGGAGCAAATTGCTGCCTCCCGGCACCTCTCTGTCTCCTGCACGCAGCCCCTTGCTGGGCCAGGGAGTGGGGAACACTCCTCAACGTGGCCAGAGGGCGAACGGAGCAGCTTTAATTGAAAGCTCCAGTATTTACCCAAATATTACCATTCCTCCCACACCTCCTCCAGAGAGCCCGGGGGCCGGGGCTGAGCCCCTTCCACTATAGCCCTAAGACACCTTGGCTGGCTCCAGCAGGGGAGTTCTTAAATCCACAGGGCAGGGGTGTGTGGGGTCCAGCCCCATGGCTGCCCTGGCTCCCTCATCCCTATTTTAATCTTCCTAGTAAACAGCTCCAGCTGTGAGCTGTTTCTGGCATTACTTTATCATTGCTGACAGTGCTCCCCCATCGGTCCCAGCTTTGCTCCGGTCACCACCGGGGTGGTTCCGTACCTCTTGCAGACCTTGTTGGGCAGCCCGTGGCTGTCGGCGGGGTAAAAGCCCTCACGGCAGGCGGGGACGCAGCGCCAGTGGGGTGCAGGGCCCTCGGGGGTGCAGGAGGTGCAGTCCTCCTCTCCCGGCCCTGTGGGGACAGGGAAGAGGGCAAAATGGCATGTGAGTGATTTTGGAGACAGTCCAAGTGTGGCCACAGCCCCACATAAGACAGGGGGCACCAGTTTGGCTCTGCCTTGCTCATGAACAAGGTGATTGTTGTGTCACCAGCGTCCAGCATGTCTGCTTGGCTCCCACCCCAAAAAGCTCAGCTTCCATTTCAAAAACGCCAGTTCCCACCCCAAAAACTCTCAGCTAGGACTCAGTGTCTGTCCCTTTGCAGAACCAAGAGTCGGCCACCAGGGCTCAGTGGGGAACAGCACATCAAAATCCCCTCAGGCCCATGAGCCACCACTCCCAAGCATGCACTAGTTTGGGCTTCCCACCCTGCACAGAGTGGAAAAGGAGATACTAAACTGGGCTGTGGAGGAGCTGGAGAAGGGAATGGCTTGGAACAGGAGCTGGGAAAGCAGAGGACCCCACTCTGACGCCAGCACATTGTGGCTGGACAGCAAACTCCAGTGATGGAGGTGTTATCATTAGAGGCCTTCCACGCACCAGACTTGAGAAATGGTTATGCAGCAAAAGGAGGCGAGAAAGGGCTGGAAAAATAATTGTGGTGGAGTACATTTACACTGACTGGAATAAGAATTAGAAGGGAAGTAATTTTCTTATGGGATTAAGAGCCTGTTCCCTTCCACGCTTGCCAACGAGATCAATAAATATTTTGGATTTAGTCTAAGGAAATTGCCCATGTATGATAGAAGAGGTTCACGCCACTGAACATGAATTGTCTAGAGATCATATTATCATCAGATCTATGATGATTTCAAGGGCAGGCGCAAACATTAACAATGGAAAATAATTGGACTTGCAAGAGGCAAGAAAGGCAGGATTTAAAGGGAACGGGAGAGGCTTTGGGCAGCTGGGGGAAGGCAGCAGCGGCCAGCCCGGCACCGAGGGGCAGTCAGGATAACACGCCTCAGATGCCTGACATTTTTATCCGCTGCAAACCCATCTTCCATCACTCCAAGAGGGTTTTATGGCCTCCCCCACAACCTTATTAAACTAAAGCACCTGGCTTCGGGGAGACCGGGAAATAAAAAACGGCTCCAATAAAAATGTAAAAACTCCCTAAAAACCTTTCCAGTGTGAACACATACAGTGTGGGATGTGCTGGAGAGTTGGGATTGCTTCCCCTCCGGCACGCTCTGCCTTGGCTCGAGGTGGATGTGGTGGGTATTTGCTCCTGATGCACGAGGGATTTGGGGTTTTGCATGGGGATGCTGTGGGGTGAAGGATTTACCTGTGCTGGCGGGGCAGGTCTCGCAGCGCCGGGGCTCCCGGCTGAGGTACATGGCAGGCTGGCACTCGGGCACACAGCTCTCTCCTGCCAGGCTGTTAGGGAAGCAGAGAGGATGTTTGCCCCCAAAGCTATGGGCTCTGGGGACTCAGCCCATCCCCAGCTCCACACTCCCCCATGTCCTACGACAGCCTCAGCCTGCAGCGTGTCAGAAAGCCAGCCAGTGCTTCAGGAGAAATTAAAGTCCTGCCTGGACCAAAGGGACGGCTGCAGGTTCCTTAATTAATTATCCGGGAGGAAATAAAATTATTTTTTTCCCATGGGCAGCCAGCCAGGCTCTCCCAAAGACCTTTTGCACGATTAAGGCTCCCTGGAATCAAAGGAAATTGGTTCAGTGCCGTGGCTGGGCCGGTGCTGCTTCACCATGGCAGGGATGATTTGAAGTCCTGGCTTAAAAGGATATTGGACAATAAAAAACAAGCGCTGTGCAGATTATGTCTGACAAGTGCCTCCACTTGTGCTTTTCCGAGGGAGTAGATAATCTTTTGGCAGTGGGAATTTCTTTGTCTGAGCGAGCCCCACTGCTACACCGTGGCTCTGACTCACAGTGCCCGAACACTGCAAAGTGCTATGGGATCATATTCCCATGAGCAACTGGGGATGGAAAACAGCTCCTCCCTAGGGGAGCTCTTTGTCCCACAGGTGCTGTGGGGCCAGCAGCAAGGGTACCCAGTGTTCCTCACAGGGCCAGGGCTGCCCTGCTTGCACCAACATTGCTGGAAAACCACCATCCTTTACTATCCCCACTCAGCAGGTATATTGGATAAAATTTTCAGCGTGGATAAATGAGAGAAGGGTTTCTGGGCTTGCAGGGATCATTCCCAGCCTGCCTGGCACAGCTCAGCCTGGGACCAACCCTACACAGCACTTACCCACCACCCTGGCAAGAGCTGCAGAAAAGGAAAATAAATTTAAATAATAGTTTTCGGCTAAGAAAGGGACACTAATCACCACCTAGTACCATGGAAGCAGGATCTTGGTTCTTTAACTAACTCACTCTTTAATTTGCCATCGGAAATCCCAAATTTAAACCAACGCTGCAGGTATAAACTTGTCCCGTGCTGGTGTTTTACCTGAATCCCTCTTTGCATGCAGTACATTTGTCTGCTTCGCCAACACATTTTTTACAGCTTTGATGACATTTCAGACAACGTTTCTGACCTTTCAAAAAACAAAGCAAGGCAGGGAGAATGAAATGCGGACAGTGATTTGCAAGCAGCAGTCAGAGCTGTAAAACCCCACTGCACCCCAGCGCCAGCTCCCCAGGGAGCAGAGGCACATCCACCCCAATGGATCCCTGCTATTGCAGGTGACCTTATCTGTCACTGCTTGCTAAGAAGAAATATGCTTTGCAAGCAACTAGGATCATTAATTACAGTCTTGTAATTAAGAGCCGAGTTGAGCACCTCTGCTTTGCACCACCCTCCGAACACCCAGAGGTTTTGCCTCCTCCCTTCACTGTGTGCAAAGTGTGTCAAGGGGGAAACTCAAAGCCAATACTCAAAAATCAAGGCGTGTTCCTCCACCCATAGCGCTTAAAATAGAAGCAACCCCTGCACATCCTCATGCTACAACTTGCAAGTGATAAAACGTCCTTACGTTCCTCGGCGTAGAAGCCGGTGGGACACAGCACCACGCAGGTGTTCATCTCCTGGTGGTGGTAGAGGTTCCTCTTGCAGGCCGTGCACTGGGTCGGTCCCCTCCCGAGGCAGCGCTCGCAGCCCTTGTAGCACCGGCGGCACCTCCGGGCGCCTTTGTCCCCAAAAAACCCCACGGGGCAGGAGCTCACACACATCCTGGGGGAGGAACAGAGAGCACCCGGGCGTTGGTGCCACCTCCTGCCTCAGGCGCCTGCTGCCGTCCCCTCACCCACAGCATTTGGGGTGTCCCCCAGCCTTGGAGGAAATTTGGGCTCGTTTATTTTTATTCTTAAGATTTAGGGTGCCTTGAAAGTCATGGGTCTTTAATACAGACTCAGGGACTCTCTTGTCCCAGTTACAGGTAAACTTTCCCTGTGCCAACCCAAGAGACTGAGGAGCAAAAACCCCAATTCCAGAAGTGATTTGTCACCTTAGCTAGCTGTCCCTTGGGCGTGGCTGGCCCCAGCTGGTGATGCCAGTGCTTCTTCCCCAGCACGATTACATGGCCAAAGTCCTTCAGGGCTCTAGAACTTTGTATCCCCCACCCCACTGTACCCTAATCGAAGGCAGGGATCCCCACACCTCCTCCTCCATCCATTTTGTCTTTCGTATCTTTCTCTCTGCAAACATTTATCACCCACACTGAGGTGCAAGACCTGGCAAAAGGTGCTGCTGCTGCCCAGGGACCCCACAGGGACACCCCACCACCTCACCTGCCAGTTTTCATGCTGCCCAGGCTGTAGTGGATGCAGTTCAAGCACTGGTCGGCGTTGGGACCATCACAGCCCTGGTCGCCGCACTCGGGGTGGCACGGACCTGGGTGGGGAAAGACTGGTTCAGTGGGGGGAGAAGCTGAGAATCCCCCAGACCCCACTGCCAGGATGCCCTGAGCACACCCTCCCTGAACTGACAGATGCTGGGAAAGGGCTGGAGAATCTTCACCTGTCTTATCCTATACCTATTATATTATAAATTTTATCCTATCTATCCTATGGAGCTGCAGGGCTCTGGGTGCTCATCTCTCCTGCAGATCATCCTTCCAGAAATGTATCTCACCCACCCACCCTCTGCCTGAACACTGGTGCAGAAGAAGCTTTGAAAGAGTGACCTGCTCCTCAGGGACCAACAGGGACACCCACCCCTGCCCAAGGCAGAGGAGGGAAGGTGGGCAGAGCTTTTTTTACCCCTCAGACAGCTGCACCAGCAATTTGTGGCGGGAGTGCTGGGATGGGGCATTTTTCTACCTTCTAATTTCACCGTCCTGCTGGCCACAGGCACTGCTCCTCCCAGCCTGCCTCAGCCCCAGGCAGGATCAGACCTTGTGGCTCCCCCGGTTCATCAGTTTGCATTTTCCCAGGCACTTTGGTGGGGATGTGGCAGCTCAAGCTGACACTTACCCGCATACTCCTCCTCCTCCTCTGCCACCTCCACCTGGCTCTGCAGGAAGGCGGCTCTTGATGGCTCCATCTCCGATGTTGGCACTTCCAACGACCTCCCACGAGACTGGGGCCCACCCGGTGCAGTGTAGGGATGCTCAGCTGTCCCATAGAAGATGAGGCTCCACTCCTTCAGCTTCCCTGTGGGGCAGGCACAATATCACCCATCCTGTTCCCTGTCTCACACCGCCCTGCGGGACCCAGGGAGAATGGGAAGCAGGAGGAGCAAGGACTGGACCATCAGGGCATCACCACTGGCACAGCAATGCAGAAGAGCAAACAGTGAACACCCAGAAATGCTGAGGAGCCCCTGAGCTCCCAGCCCACACAGAAGCAGCTGTTTAAGGCACTTACAAGGGATTTTTAATTCTATAAATCATCTGACGAACCTCAGCAACACCATAGACTTCATGTCCAACACTGGAGAGAGCCAGTAACTTTAAAAGCTACACAATAGAGGATTATTTCTGTCTGACAAAAGCCGCCTGGCACACACTGGATTATTTCTTGCTGCTGCAGTTCCAGCCATCCCTTTGCCCAATATATCAGAGGTCTGAGCTTGGCACCCCTCAAGACACTGTGGGAACCACCAGACTGTGGCGCACCTGGTAGGACCCCCCCCGAGGTCTTACACCCACACCAAGACCCTCTACGATCCACATGGCTTTGGGGAGGAAGCCCAAAAATGCTGCTGCTTCTTTCCAAGGCTGTTTTTCTTTCGATTCTCCATCAATGTGAGTCACTTCATGCCCGTGGCGCGCTCGGCTTTAACTCCTAATCCCTGCGTTTCCAGGAAGGGCTTAAAATGTCCAATACCCAAATCCCTTGGCTCTCCCCAAGGGATGAGAGGACCCACCTGCTGCACTGAGCAGTGCCAGCATGGAGCCTGTGAGGCAGCTCCGCCGGGAAAGTGCCTTCACTGAAAGAATTAAATTTGCTTTAAATCTAAAATATCCCATGTGAAGAAAGCCCAGGCTGCACAGGGCTCACGTGGGGATGCAGCAGTGCCAGCAACAGGACACCTATAATATTTAATTGGTATTAGATTAACCAATTTAGTGGTATTAAATTAACATTTAAAACCAGTTTCTGCTACGAGCTGGGAGCATCTTCCCTCTTTTTCCTCCCGCTTTAACCTCTCTGCTTCAAACCCGGTGCAGACCCTTTGAGGGGGTGCTTAAACGCTCTTGTTTTCATTTCATTTTACCAAGACAGGTAAAGCTGAGCCCTGATGCCCTTGAGGGGCTCAGAAACACCCGCCATGAACTGTAAATACTGGGGAAAAATCAGCTCCGTGGGCGCTTTGCTGCTGCTCTCTGAGTTCAAAAGATTTTGGGTGAAGGCAGCAAACAGAAACACTTTGTGCTCAATGAACGAACCCCCACGTGCACCTCCCGCCAGAAAATCGTGTGGGAGAAATTTTTTAATATGTTCCTGGCTTCCTATCAATGATTGTGTGGATTTAAAACCCCCACAACACACACCAGCCCTGGGCAGGATTCCTCATGCCCCGCTGCCACCAGCCAGTGAGGCAGCTGCCCCTTCCTGGTGGGGCCAGATCCTGCCAGCACGGCTCCTTTGCTGGGAGCAGGCAGCCAAGCCAGGGAGAGGGGGGGACAGGGACATGCAGGGGCCAGGCTGAGCCCAGCCACCCCCCACCAGCACAGTGGCAGCCTGGGGAGGATGTCCGTCTGTCTGCAGCCCGAGGGGCATCGTCCCCTTGCGCCATTGCACAACCAGCCCACGCGCCAGATGTCCCAGCAGCGAAGCAAAACAAACAAACAACAATTACAGCTCTTGGGCTTCCTTGTTTTGGCTCATTACGGTTTAATTTTGGAAACCTGGCTCTCGGGTGCAGCGAGTTTTGCTGCTGCTGGGAGAAAATCCACTCCCGGCTCAGCCAGACTGGCAGCCTCCTGTGTTCAGGGCTGATGTTTTATTGCCACTTTTGAGAAATTTGGGCAATACCGTTTTGCTGGAGACCATAAAAACTCACAGCAAAATATACAGCCAAGTGAAATAGCCTGCAATGAGCTTTGGGAGCGAGAGGAACTGGTGGGCTCCAGGGGGTCCTCACCTTGCACGGCGGGGTTGCGCACTTGGGATGGCGTGTCGTGGATCTCCAGGGTCCACTCCCCCGCCGCCCGCTCCCCCCAGCAGTGGACGGTCATGAACTCCCAGCCCTTGAACCCCTCGTTGGAGTGGTCGAACACCCTGCAATGGTAATGCCACGCGCCAAGAAATGTGACTTGGGATGTTGGATTTTATCGGAAAAGGTAGATAGGTGATTAAGGATTAAGGTTAGGATTAACGATTCCTTGCACGTGCCCACCCTTGCATGGAGCCCTTCTGCAGCAGAGACCTGGGCATGCCCCCACCTTCCCAAAAAACCCTGAGGAAACTCGCAGCAACCCCCCAGAGGACACATTCTGGCTCCGGCCGCTCTTACCTCCTGGCGAGGAGCTGCGACCTGGTTCCTGCTGGAGACACGAGGCTGATCTGGAGGTCTCCCCGGCGCGGGTGGGAGATGCTGAGCCTCACCACGACGTGCTCCAGGTACAGCACGTGCTGGTCACGGTGCTCAGCGCAGCCGCTGCTCAGGGTGCTGGCGCGCAGCACATGGTCAGCTCGGATGTACCTGCCAGGGTCGGGCAGAGCGTCATGATGGGGACAGTTCCCAGCAGTATGGACACCCAATTATACTTGAACCCAGTCTCCTACTGCTATCACAGCAAAAATTATCTCCTCCTCCATTGCGATTCCCAGTGTCCTAGCATGGGAATTTGCTGAGTTGCCGCATGGTAACGAGATGGATTTGAACTGCTCCGAGGATCTGTGCCTTATGGGCTGCAAGGGCACTGCTTTATTATAATTAGCAGTGCAGTGCTCCTCTTTGGGCTGTAATTAGTGTCTGTATCAGATAAATAGCTTCATGAACACACTTGGCTCCACATTCATTCCTGTTTTGCATATGCAAGTCTTCCAGAGACTTTTCTGATTAACAACTCTCTCACTCTACAGCCAGGCAGTGGTAAATCAGGAGGGTCCATTTGGTCAGATCCGTGATCCCACCCTTTAACCTAGCAGGGACTGACCTACCAAGGATGAGATGCGAACCTAAGCTGGTTTGAATCTGAAGCTGAATTCAAAGATCCCAGACAATGGAAATCTGGAAACCTTTGCAACAAAGCACCAGTTTTTGGTCCCTTCAATTGAAAATGTTTGATGGCAGAGAGCAGAGAGACCAAGACATCACTGCTCATGTAGGACCCAGCAGGAAAGTTGGGTTTGGTCTCTCACTGTCAGCCCTCAAAAATTGCCTGCTGATCATCCATCCTGGAAGTGAAAGTGGATGGTGTGGATCACTCTGACCATAAAATCCATAAACATCATCTTGTCTGCCCATGGACTTGTCCCAGCCACCCTGACTCCTAATTTCCCTTTCCAAATGTTGAGACAGGAGCCAAGCCTCTGCATAGCAAGAGCCAGCTCCACCAATGCTCCTTCCAAGCATCTGCATGCCCTGGGAGAGCACCCCACTCCACCCAACCCCACAACACTCACTTGGGCACCCTGTCCAGGCTTCCCACGCAGACATGCTGGGGAGGAACCATCTTCCACTTCTTGGCTTCCACCACAATAGCATCAGCATCCACCAGCCCAAAGCCATATAGATGGCTAACTGGAAAGAGAGAAGACTCAGAAACCCACTGCCTTCCAAGCAGGGCTCAGGAGCTCCTCCTCAGTGCTTGGTGGAGCATCCCCCAACCATCAAGGAAGGCACAGTTGACTCCATTGCTTCAACACACAGAGCTCATCACCCTGTTCAAGTTACACCCCAAATCCACATTGGCACCATGGAAAACCCATTGCTGGGAGCAGCCCATGGAAAGGAACAGGAAACACTCCAGCTCAGGAAAGCCTCCACCAAACAAGGCTTCCAAACCTCCACCAAGCAAGAGTTCCAAGCATCTCACCCCATGAATTACTGCCCTCTCCTCCCTCCCCTCAACAGCCTGATGGTGGGAGCCCCCAGGGAAGCCGACAGTGGCCACACACGGTGAATCCTCCCCACATAAACAAAGCTCTGGAGACCTTTATTTTCCCTTTGTTGTCTGTTTCCACCGTGCCACCCCCACCTCCTCTCACCTTTGTGCCCCGCACCGTTGGTTTTCCAGTCGGGCGCTCGCAGGTGCCCCGGCCGTGAGGTTTTGACCAGCAGGTGCTGGACGTCCCTCCAGGTGAGCAGGGGGCTGCAACAACACAGGGCTCGTGGGATGGCTCTGCTGCTCCCCGTCTTCCCAGCAGCAGCAGGGACACCCACTAGGTTAAAAAAACCTCCAAAAAATTTCTTGCTCTTTTTTTTGAGCGGGAAAGAGTTGATGATTTAAATGCTGACACCCTGCCCGGAGGTTGACCATTGCTTGGGGTGCCCCAGCAGAGGTCGATAGCCCAGGGAGAGATGCCACATGTCCACAGGCATTGCAGGATTTACTCCTGGATAAGGCAATTTAGGTCTCATGCTCTGAGGTAGAAATGAAGCAAATCAGGAGTGTTTTCCCCATTTTCATGCAGGAGATCAGGAATGAAGCACATCCTGAGGCAGGGTACTGGGCTCAGCGGCTCATTGATACATGATGCTGAGCAAACCTTCCCTTTATAGCAATAACAGCAAAAATTGCTGGAAAAATCCCTGGGTTGCTCATTTAACGGAAAAATGAAATGCAAATTGTTTCCACTCCCCCAGACTGGGTTTGCGTGAGGTTTGTGCGTCCAGAGTGCAGGACACCAAGTGCTCTGTGCTTCCCAAGACCCCAGCCCAGGGATATTGCTGAAGAATTTTCCATGCTTTTCTTACAGTCAGTTCTTCAGCATCTCGAGCTGGGATTTATATTGCTCTCGAGCAGCATTTAAGGAAACAAATTCAATTTATTCTCTCTTGTCATAATGGAGTGCCTGAGCACCAAGCTCTCGTACTTAATGTTGCGTTTTATGCCTCAGCTAAACAATTCAAAAATTACATCTAAAGCTTTTAATATACTTGTAATGAAAACGGCATCTCCGGAAATATGTTCACCCGACTTGGGTGTTGGGATTAAACCGGAGGAGGAGGACTGGAACCACAATCACCGTCCCTGGATGAGAGTGCAGTGCTGCCCTGAGGCTTATTCCCAGCCTTAATTTTATTTCCACTCCATAAAAATAATAATAAGCTCATGAGAAGATGCTCCATGAAGCAACACAGGGATGCCCCAGGGCTGTTCCTGGGCTGGGGGACTACGACAGAACCAGGATGGGACTGGGATGAGAACGGGATGGGGACAAGAGGAAAAGAACAGCTTGTTTGAACCAGGGAGTGTGTCGCTTGTTGGTCAAGCTGTGTGAGTTTTTGACATTATGCAAAAGTAGTCATTTACCCCCAGAAATGCAACACTTGCTGAAAACCATCACTTCTACGGACATTTCCCATTTTCTGTGATGTTTTCTGATATTTTTTCTACAGGAAGGATTTATAAAACTCCTGTTGGAGCCCGCTGTCAGCAGTTTCAATGCACCAACTGAAAAGCCTGACTTATCTCACCAACCCCAAATGTTCAACAGATGAAGAATTAGATCAATAAAACACCGGCGGGAAGATGCAAAACAACAACGCTGTATCAAACCTCGCCAAAAAGGAGCCATTTAGAACAACTTTGTCCCATTTTGAATCACTCCAAAGATAAAAAAAAAAACCACTTTGTTTTTTCCTGGGTTTGCTCACCAGGTACTGAACATGGAAACATTTTTCCTGGTGAGGTAACACTTACTTTGCCTCCAAAGCCAAGGCGATGATTCCCGCGACCATGGGGGCAGACACGGAGGTGCCGGTGTGGCCGTCGGTGCAGCGGTGCCGGAGATCCGTGGTGACCTGTGGGGAGAGGAGCTGCAGCTCCCAAGGCGCTCCCAGCACGGGCACTACCCCATCCAGGACCCCAGGTTTGCTCGGGATGCTGCCAGAGCGGAGCTGATCCTCATGGTACCCAACCCTTGCCATGGCTCACGTGCCATCACGGTGCCCAGAGCCCCAAAAACGGTCTGCAGGCACATTTGGTGCATGAGGAAACAACCCTTCTTACATTTCCCTTTTCTAAAGGGGCAAAAACTATTTGAAAAGGGAAAAAGCCATCGATTTTATTGTGGTTCAGCTGGAGGAAAAGATGTGATGTGATCAGATGGAGTGATGTGAGCAGGGCAGAGCTGCTGGGGCTACGCATATATGGGTGCACACTGAGCTGTGCCATGTTAAATGCTTTTCTTAAAACCTCCAGCTCCCGGTTTTGGGCAAGAATTTCCATTTGCATAGGGATAAAAAAAAAGCCATTTCCAGCTTTTTTGTTCCAGGACAGAGCACAGTGTTTGGGTACCAAAAGCTTGGAGAGAGGAAGTGGGCCAAGAAATGCTCCATTGGTTACATTTTTAACAGTCTCCTGAGTTTTGGGTTAATCTGGTGATTCCACCCCAAGGTGCCCCTGAAATCTGCTTTTTTTTTCCCAGCAATGCTCCAGTAGTACTGGACTGTGCTGGCTTCAGCCATGCAAATGCTGAGTGGTATGAAAATGCCATTTGGATTTTGTTTTCTGGCTGGAAATTCGTCTTTTAGGTGCCAAAACCCCCATTCCTGAATGCAAAAATTAATCGACTTGTTAAAAAACCAAACAGTTTTCGTCAAAAAACTCATTTGGGTGGAAAACTCCCTTCCCAGCTCGGATGAGGTGCCGTGACAGTGGGTGATGCTTTACTGCCCAAGGTTCAGATGATGCACAAGGATGTCAGTAATGAACAGCCTTGGTATGACAAGAACACAGCAGTTCTTCGGATGGGGCAAATATAGCAGGGAGGTAGGAAAGCTGATCTGATCCACATATGCACACACTTTCAGGCAATTCCTGACCTCTAAAGTCTCAGCTGTCCATTTGGAGCTGCCACATCCCTGCCAAATGCCTCCATCCTCCCTCTTTTTTCTCTCTCAGGCTACAAATCCTCAAAATTAACTTTTTTTTTTTTCAAATAAGGGACAGTGACCAAGCGCCTTTGGGGAACAGGTTAATATTTACATGGGTATTTTTGCAAACCTCCAGCCCTTTCACCCATTTACCAGGGAAAACACCGCATCCCTGAGCATTTCATGACCAGAGTAAAACCCACCGCAGAGCTAAGGGCAAAGCCTGGCTCTTACAACTGGGCCATCACCCACAGCCCAGCCACGCCAAAAACACCCAGGGGGTGCTGCCCTACTTGATGCTGGGGTAAAACTCACTATTTTCCGCTCATAAAAAGCCCCGCTGCTGTAGGTGGTGGCGAGGGTGGAGGCACATTCCTCCAGGTACCAGGGCTTGTAGCCGTTCTCGGTGGTGCTGCTGATGGAGATGGTGTAGATGCTGTTGGTGTAGCCGTCACAGGAGCAGTAATCGCCCTCTCTGCCGCCGTTCCCCGACGCCCAGACGAAAATGGACCCCAGTCCCCTGCGACCCTGTGGGCAGAGAGAGGATGGAGGGTTAGAAGAAGTGTTTGTCCAGGATGAGAGGCCATCTCGGCACAGGGAGGAAGGCATAAGCCTGATTTTTTGGTCTGGATATAGGTTATGATGAGGGTGGAAGGACAGGTCCCATCCTGCCCAGTGCTCAGCCCCCTGGGTCAGTCCCACACACACTCCACTCAGCTCAGCCAGCCCCAGTTTACAGGCAGCAATTCCCCATGAGGATGGGAGAGCCTCCAGCAATGGGATTTTGACATTTTCCACAGGCTTTCCAGGGGAAAAACATCTTGGGTACTCAGAGTCCCTGGACCAGCCAGTAACACCTGGTTCTATGAGGAACTGGCAGGAAACCCCTCAAACCCCATGTCTCCCAAGCCCACAAAGCACCTCACCAACCACCCAAACCATGAGAAACCTTTCCCCAGCTTATTCTTTAGGTTCCTTCTGTTTGTTTTTTAATTTTTAAATCCCCATCACTTGGCAGGAACATCTGATGGAGCCATCCCCACTGGGCACAGCTGTGGGAGCCCATGGGAACTGGGGGGGCGGGAAGGCTGCACCAGCCACCCAGACCTCCCTAGAGCCAAGGAAAATCCCAGCTGGCAGTGGCAGCCCTGGTGCCAACCAGGGGCCCCTAATGAAGCTGATGTCACAGGGGCGAGCCCTGTTCTCCATCCAATCCACTACCGGGACGCCCAGGAATAACCCAGCCCTGCAGGGGTTTGGAAGCAAGGTGCCGCCATCCCAGAAAAGGAGGATTTTTGGTGATCCAAGGGGGTTAGGGGCAGGAAATGAAGTGGCTGGTTCTCTTCCGTGCCCTGTAAGGCAGAGTTCTCCGGGGAGGATGGCGCTCTGCCGGGCTTGGCAGGCGATGGAAGAACACAGCGGAGCAGCCCCATCCTCCCCGCGGCTACTCCTGCCACTGAGAGGTTTCGGCGCTCGCCTGGGCAGATCTGGTGTTTGCCTCTCTCCCACTGCTCTGCGACAGCTTCCTCCACAAAAAAATAATAAAAATAATAATAATAAAGCAGCTTTGCTCTGGAGGAATTCACTGGGATTTATTGTGGGTTTTAAGCGCCAGGGGGAGCGGGATGTTTATTACCTGTCTCGCCCCCCTCCTGGAGCAGAGGCTTTCTGAGCTGACCCTGCCTCTGGATACACAGGCTAAGTAAGGCTTTTCCCTTACTTTATGAAAGTTTTCATTATCTGGGCTGCCTCCCAGCCAAACTGGGTGGGTATTTCCCCAGCAAAGATTAATAGAGCTGTCTGGAGCTCTGCAAGAAAAAGTGCAAATGCCAAGGGAATTATTGCCCTGCTCCACGTCACAGAGAGCTCGACCCAGCTTGCCAGCCCACCAAGCCTGCTGCTGGCATCTCCCACCCTGCTTTCCAGGGTTTCCTGGATCTCCAAGGAGGCAGCATCCCAGCCCACGCACTCGGCACAGACAGTGACTGTCCAGCTCGCCCATACCAAAATCCACGCACCCCCAAGGACGAGTCCCACTGCATGCAACCCAAGCTTCCCAAATCCCTAATCAGAGAAATAAAACCAGGCACTGATTGCTGAAGCATGTGCAGATGTAGCAATGATTTCAACTGGGATCAAAAGACAGGGAGCCCAGACCTCCCTTGCATCCCACATCCCGAGTGTTGCCCCCGTGGGAGCTGAGAAGGCTCCTCAGACCTGATCCAAACCCACATCCCCACGAGGCCCAGGCAGGGCTGCACTGGAGGAAACTGGGTTTGGAGCCAGCACAGTCACATGAAGGACATGAACAGGCACATGAATGACACTACAATACACATCTAACACCTGACAGCATTCCGAGAGCTCACTGCATATTGCAGCTCCCTCAGATGGGAAAAAATCCACTCTTTCCCTTTGTTCTCAAACAAGGAACTACCAAGATTCCTACACCCCAAACACCCAACTTCTTCATTTGCCATCCTCTTAAGCCAACACCATCCTAGAGAGGGGGCTCCTTGCAGCTATAAAATGTGGATCTGAACATCATTTGAGCCAGGGAATCCCTCCCTGGCCAAGGTGGGGATGATCCAGCTCACCCCAGCTGCTCATGGTTGGCTGTGGGATGCACAGCATCTCCTGCTTCTGCAGCACTGCGGGGCCTGGGTGTTTGCCCAACGGCACTCCATGAGCCACCAGGATAAATCTCCCCTCGTTAGCTCGGGAACTAGTAAAGTGTGGCTGGAGGAACAAGAAACAAGATGGTAAATTACTCCAGCGCAGTCCTATCGCTAATAGATAAAGGTTATTTTAATGTTTCCATTAAAAACTCAATTTTAAGGATTTATAACTCAGTTACAGCTGTTTGCTCGGGTTAAAGGTGGTGGTTAACTATCTCCTTGCAGCTTTCCTTGTTATTTAAGGAGAAGAAGTTGGCAATTAAGAGCTGTGCACATGGGATAGTGGGTGCCACAAACACCAGTGGCAGCTGGGGGACAGGGCTGTCCCCTGGGAGACAAAAACAAGCATCCCAAAACAGTGGGGTTGTGCTGGGCAAGGACCCTGCTGCCACCCATTTGCTCCTGCGTGGAAAAATAAGGTCTAAAAAGCAGCTTGTTCCCCCCGTATTTACACGGCGTGAACTCCCCGGCACTTCAATGGATTCCTCGGCAGGCTCACTGCCCCAGCAGGAAATCAAGTAAACAGTGGGAAAAACACTCCACCCTATTTTTAGATAAGAGACAGGCTGCTCACCCCAGCCTGTGGCCGCCCAAAATCCCAGCACGGTGTGAGAAGAGGCAGCAGAGGAAGGATTGGAGGCAGGGGTCAAAATGGGGGGGTTCCCAGCCCAGCCTGGGGCTGCTGGTGGCAAAACTCCAACCCCAGGTTCTCTGAAGCACCCAGGGAACACCCAATGTGGAGCCCTGGGCTGCCGTGACACTCATCCACAGCACCCACCAAGCTGCCAAGAAAGGTCTTTTTCCTGATGCTTTTAGCCAATATTGGGCATTTTTTAAAAGCTTCCAGAAAGAGAAGGGCCACGGGGCATCCCCAGCAGGGATTGATTGACAGCTGACAATCACATGTGATGCTGGCTGAACTTTCTTGCTGGAGGATTTCAAGGATAATAATCCACTGTTGGACCCTGTGGTGGCACCCGTGTCCCTGCCCAGCTGTGACACAGCTGCTTGCTCCAGGTGGAAAACCAGGGAAATGCTTAATGTGGCAGGGACCTCTGGGAGAGGATACCAGGGGCCTAGGGAGGGTGGAGGAAGGGGTTGGAGGTACTTGGGGGTGTCCCCTTCTGCCCAGGCCAGGATCCAGGGAGGACATTTTAAGGTGTAAAGTCTCCCCCCCCAGAAACTACTCTGGGTTTCTCATCCTGGCAGAGCTTCGCAACACAACCTGGGGCCTCCCTGCTCTGCCAGGGCTCTGCCTGGTCGCCGGTGCTGCCGGGTGGTCCCACCGGGGCCGGCCATGCCGAGGGGTCCCACCGGGGCCGCGCCATCGCCAGGCACCTCCCGCCGTCACCACCCTTGGCCGCAAAATCCACCGGAGCTCTTAGGGACGCCGGGGAAAACTAGGAAAAATTAGAGATGATTGGCTTTCCCCCCCGCCCCAGCCCTAGTGCTGGCATCACCTCAGGGGGCCGAGCTGCCCATCCCCGCGCCGGACCCCGGGCCGGCCGCGGCCCTGGCACGCGTTCCCACAGGACAGGAGGAGGAGGGCGAGCGCATCTGGGCGCTGTGGGATCCACACCTTTTTAATGCCTTGCTCAAAAGCCTGTTTGGCCAATAGACCAGGTCCATCAACTGTCTTCCCATCATCATCTGGCCCCCAGCTCGCGCTGTAAATGTCAATGTAATCGGGTCTGATGCCAAGCGACTTCGCTTCAACAACATCTGTTACATCTCCATCTAACATACGAATGCCTAAAAGCACAAAAACATCAGACATTAGGGCTTCATGGCGTGGATGAGGATTGCAATCAAAGGGCTTTGTTAGCGGCGGCGGAAACCGCACGGCTCAGGCGCGCCTGGAATAGCTTCAACCCGCGGCCCTGCATGCCAACGAGCCTGGCAGCGGGATGCTGGGGAGCTGCTTGGGAAGTTTTCTGTGTTGCTGGCTTCATGGTTAGGGATGGAGAGGGGGAGGTTAAAATTCACTTCCCCTCCATTAGTGGGGAACAGGTGGTGGGAGTGGTGGGAGTGGAACTGCACTCCCCAGTGGCAAAATCCGCCCACTAAAAACCTTTTTTCCCTCCCTTTTAATTCATTAGCTAACACGTCTCTCCCCTTGGAAGATATTGGAGTTTCCTGATCACTCATGCCCGCCCAGCCTCAGGCACATTGGCGGGGTGAAGCCTCTCCCCTTGAGTGGGGATGAGCGTGACAGTCCCCAAATCCCATCACTGCCCAACTGATGCCAGCAGTTCTCCGGAGTGGGAGAAGCCCCAGGCTGTGCTTTGCACAGCCAAAATCGGAGCCAGGACCCCAACTCATGGCTGAACAGTGCCATCTGGGATAACCCTCACTTCCAGTTGGGAATGCCAGCAGACACCAGCCAGGGTACTCACAGGCAGAGCCCCTCAGCCATGGTGGGATGGGCTGGGGGATTGCTGCACACCCCTAGCCTCCAACTGCTGAATTATGAGAGTACAGCCCGCTCTGCTCTCCATCACCCTTCCCCTGCAGGATTTCCACTCTGCACAGTGGGTGGAGGGTGCCAGGCACCCCAATGGGCTGCCCAGAAACAGCCCTTGCAGGAAAAGACATGCTGGAAATTTCAGCATCATATTTTGTCAGCCAGGGATAGCCTGGTTTATAAAAATGCATTTCCCCTTCCACATGTATTTTGTCTTAAAGCAAACAAATGCAGGCAGATGTCATTCCAGTTGCAGCTGCACTCTGGACACCAGTCAACTCAAATATCTCTTTCTGATGCTGCCCCCGATCAGCCAAAACCAAGCTTAGAAATGTAAAACCAGGGAGCTGAGCAGTTCCCAAAAACTTCCTCTTTGTCAACAAGAAAACACGAGGAGAAGGGGCTAAAAGCCGAGCCTGGTGTCTGAGCTGCACTTGGCTGCGGCACAGCAAGGAAAAGCAGCAGAGGGATGGGGCTTGTGCTGGCTAAATGTGGGCATGTTCACCAGCAAGCCCAAAATCAGCCCAAAGCCAACCCAAAGCCAGCCCAGAGACAACTCAGAGACAACCACCCACAATGCCAGGCTCCCTGATCAAATAATGGGGAGCAGGAGGGAGCAGAGATGGATGCTGCAAAATAAATGAGCTTTGTGCCACACAGGGAGCAATACCAACCTCCAAAGTGAGCGCTCGAGGAGAGGGAAAAGGAGGACGAATGGCAGGAGCCCTTTGCTTGAGCAGTGATGTGTTTTGCCCAGAGCAAATGAAAAGCAACGCAAGGGCGCTGAAGAGCAGCCAGTAAAATTAGATGGGAGCTCTCCAAGTGTGACAAATAGGCTTCCCCAACAAGTTGTGCTCATTAATCGCTGCTTTATTTGTGTAATCCATCTAGAATCACTCTTGGTGCAGCTATAGCGTGTTTTCCTCCATGATCCCAAACTTCATCTGGCTCAGACTGTATTTTTCCCCTTTGCCTGTTGATGTTGTGAGAAGCCCCCAGCCCTCTGCCAGGTGCCTTGTCTCACTCAACACCTCCCCAGCACACCCCTGGGGCAAGGCACTCGTTAAAGGGAGCAAATTAAAATGAGACCCATAGGTCGTCATAAAGTCAACAACTAAAGCTCGTCTCCACCAGCAGCTGCAGAGAAATGGGCTTGAAAAGGAGCAGGAAGGGAATGGCCTGATCCTGCAGGATCCAAAACTGCACTAAACCCCACCAGGAGCTTTGCCTTGCTCAGCTGCTGCTTAGTCTGCACTTGGAGGTGGGTTTTTAGGGGCAAGAAACTTCTAAGAAGCAAGAAGCCATCACATGTGCAGGAGGCAGAAAGATGGGATGGGCTGATGTCCCCCTGCCAGTCCCCCCATTCACCCTCTGTGGGGTTATTTCTTCCCTGTGGGGACTTTCCCCACACAGGCAATCACTGGAGGTGGTTGGCCAGGAGCAGGATCCCTGTGGGCACTGGTCCCATGCAGACACAACCCTAACAAAAGCTGTTTCTTACACAGCCAGGATGAATAAGACAAGAGAAGTAATTAAGTCCCAAATCCACCCCATGGTGCTTGGGTCCACGCTCCCAATAGTCAATTCTCCCAGTGCTGGGCTGGTAGGAGGGGCTGCAGTAAAAACCCCTCTCCTGTTACAGCCATGCCAGGGATGGGGCTGAAACCCCCAGGGCGAGGACCCAGCTCCAGGTATTTGTCCCCTGCATGGTCCCACCAGCCATGTAGATGGGACACTGCACTCCCACCCCCACTAAGACCCTCATCTCCCCAGGGGTGTTATACTCATTGGGTTGGCCAGGACTGCCCCAGGTCAAACCAGCTCAGCTAATGCAAATGAACTCTGAGATGCTAATTACCACCAGGATCCAATCTGGTGATAAAGATTCATTTGCTTCCCGCACATTCTGTTATTTGTAGGACTGTGCAAAAGTGCCTGCCCTACACACAGCTCCAGCCCCACACCTCCCTGGTGTTTTGCCCATGAGAGTATTTTGGGGGTCTCCCCAGAACCCCCCACTCCAAGCAGCTCATCTGCAGATATTGACCCCACAAATGAGTGACTTCAGCTCTGAAGCTCAACCAGCACCACGGAGCACAGCAAACACGGCCACTCCAAGGACAGACCCCCCGAGAGCAGTTACGGACTTTTGGGGGTGAAACCACCACATCCTCAATCCACGTGCACCCTCACAGCAAGGATGCAGCCCAAGCAGAAAGTTTCCACCCCAAAATACGCAGAGCCAGGGTCCCTTGCATGCCATATCACCCATCCTCCCCCAATACCCACGGAGTTCCCTGCAGCTGAGGCATCAAGGAGGAGACTCTCCTGGCAGTATGTGGGGGAACAGCCTCCCACCACCCACCCCAGGAGCCCATCAGTGTGGCTAGGGTGGCCACAGTGCCTCGGGGGGACGGTGAAGGGCAGGGGAGTGCAGAGGTGCAGCCTCACCTCCGATGCGGGCGTTGTAGGCGATGCCCACTATGCAGTACGAATTGTTCGCCGCCGCCGCCACCTCCCCTGCGCAGCGAGTGCCGTGTCTGCAAAGAAAAATCCCCCATCAGCTGATGTCCATGGCAAAGGGTCCCTCCAGCCAACCCCCAACCAGCACCCCAAAACCAACCCTGAGGCCAAAGTGGCAGAAGAAAGTGCCCCAGGAGATGAAGAGTCCTTACCCAAAGCCCACAGCAAGTGTTGGAGGGTGCAAGAAACTAATGCCAAAAGCAATTTGCTGTTTGTGTTTTGCACCTAAATCCAATCTGTTGTTTGCATTTTACACCTCAATGCAACTTGCTTCTTTGCATTTTGCTCCTAAATGCAATTTCCTCTTTGCATCTTGCACCTTGATAAAATCTCCTCTTTGGACTCCTGTTTCC